AATTAGTATATATATATATAAATATATACACACACACGCAGAGACACACATTCGGATATTTCAGCAACTTTAAGAGCTCCTTGACCTCTATATATTTTATGCTCGGCAGTCTTTGGTTCCTATAAATTCAATCAATCATAGAGGTATAGTCAGTGATTAAAAAAAAAAAAACACAGAGAGAGGATCATTCAAAATGCGAGATCAGAAGGTATTCCACAGCCCCAGCTGAAAGCTTCAAGTAACTAATCATATCTTAATCGGTCAATTTTAGCATTGAAAAAATCGGTGGCTCCACGGAATTACAAGCTGGCTAAAAAAATCTACGATTCAGGTAATTGTCTGATGGGTGGATGCCTTATATGTGTCTGTGCGTGTAGTAGTGTGTGATGTGTGTGTGTGTGTGTATATGTATATGTGTATGTGTGTGTGAGTCAATTGGATTGATTGCTGGGTAACTAACAACCCCTCAAAATGCCAAACCGAATTGAAAACATACGTAACCAATTCCGTGTCATTGCTAAAATGATTGTCTACCAGAATGAATTATTAGAGAATAAGAAACGGAGGAGTTAATCTGGTACGTACGTACTGCCTCTTTTCTTAGCTTCTTTCTCCGGATTAATTGATTGTGCTGAATAACTAACATTTGCTTAGCCTCTATTGTAGTGTCGGTACGCCCGACATTACAATAAATTATTTCGGGCGCAGGAGATTTTTTTTTTTTAATGTTGTGGTTCATGTGTATGGTAGTGTAATGATGTCCCATATTTAATTGAATTGCTACTACCACCACCATGTAAAGTTTAGGAAGGAAATGGTGACAACTTCGGGTAGGAAAGGAAAGGAAAAAAAAAATGGTCAGCATCGCCTTGTTGTGTGACATCGATTTGCTTAGCTTCTGTTGTTCTGAGACTGGTGATGTCTACGTTTCCTTTCCTAATTTGCACAGATTCATCTTATCATATATACTCCACTCTTTCTTGACATGCCGTGACATATCAAACCCTCTTCTTCATACTAATCATATACTCCACTTTATTTAATTACTGCACACACATTCTACACGCCCACGCACGCGCACGCGCACACACCCACTCACTCTCTCTCTCTCTCTCTCTCTCTCTCTATATATATATATATATATATATATATACACACACGCGTATGTATGTATATATATATATATATACTACTCCTGTACTATATGTAAGTAAGTATGTACTACTATATATATGATATGTAAATGGAAGTAGCATTTACTAGTACATGTTTATGTGCATTTATATATATGATATGATGACCTGCCCGCTCATTCTCATTCTATGATTTCCATCTAAGGTAATATAATAAGCATAAGCCCTCCACATCCTAATTTCCATCCCCCTCTTTTTCTTCTTGCAAACAAGAAATGGTGGTGGCAGCTCCAACTCCAGATGGTAACGAGAAAGCAAGAGCCACCGAGCTCCCTGTCATTGACCTTTCGGACAGGAGGTCCGAGGTCTCGAAGATGATGGTGAAAGCGTGCGAAGATTTCGGGTTTTTCAAGCTCATCAACCACGGAGTTGCTGACGATATCATTGCCAAAATGGAAGAACAAAGTTACCAGTTTTTCGCGAAGCCCTCCTCCGAGAAACAACTAGCAGGCCCTTCCAAGCCCTATGGCTACGGCTGCAGGAACATTGGCTGCAATGGAGACGTTGGAGAGGTTGAATATCTCATTCTGGATGGCAACCCTGCCTCCATTGCTCGCTCCTCCGAAACCATTTCCGCCGACGCTATCGAGTTCAGGTAACAACGACCTCCTGCACTAAAACCTTCCTGCTGCTACATACATTTGCATGTGTTTTCTTTCTACACCAGCAACCCCGTCCCTGCCCCTCTGTGTTTCTTGGTTTTATTTGTTAACTACTAGTATAAAAATAGCAAGGAGCTAGCGGCGTTGACAGTTGAAGGATCATGATCCATATAGACAACAACCCGAAATTAATTATGGGAAATTCGAGGGCTTGGCTCCCTGATTTATCCTGCAGGTTTAAGATTTTGAACTTTAGTTGGAGATGACAAAAAAAATGTGGAAGATGGCTTCTTTAGCGATTGAGCGTCTCCAATGTGGAATGCAACTCTTTGGCTGTCCATGCATCTGTAATTAATTAGGTCGTCGATTGTGCCAACTTGCATATGTGCATACATGATTCGTTATAACTAACCCTTTTTTGTTTATGGCTCACACATACATACATGCGTAATGCGTACGTACATATAAGCGGATATTTGTGAGATGAACAAATGATTTAGAGAGTTGTGAAGGGGGCTAAGACAGCATGTGATTTTAATTAATTAAGAAAATTACGCCACGCCAGCAGGAGGAGATGTTTTGTACTTAAAACTAATCAGGTCAAGAAAGAGAGGCCATTAATTAATTTGCTATTAAAAGCTAATTAAGCACGACGAGTGTTTTTTTTTTTTTTTTTTTTTTTATTGGTGTGTTGTTGTTGTTGTTGTTGGGTATCTGATCGAAAGTCGACGTGCTGTTTCATAAATAAATAAAATACCAGTAGTACTATAATAAGCAACATACATACTGGACTAATAATTAAAATTATTTTCCCTTTCTTTTTTTTTTTTTTTATGTCTCCCAAAAATGAATAAAGAAGAGAAGAAAGCACTAATAAGTTATGCCACGAAATGGAGTGCATAATTCACTGTACCGGAGATATTTTTCATTTGGCGAGACCAGCTGAATTTCCCTGCATGCATTATATTATTAATAATATGTAGGGAAAATAAACAAGAAATGTAGCGCGGTCTGCTTTTGAAAGAAAGTACAAGGCGTACGTACGTACTTTCAATTTCAAACCATATCATATCATATCATTTAATAAAAATAAAAAAAATATATATATATATATAAATTGGAGGAACGTTCAATTGAAATACAGCAGCAGTAGTAGCAGTACTACTACTACTAGAATGGATCAACTACTACTGACGAGTCAAAACGATCATCATTGTGGTGAAGAAGGTCCAATCAAATCAAAAAAAAAATAAAATAAAAAATAAAAAAGAAAGAAACTGGAAAGCTCCCAGAGATACGGGGACGCCCCATGGGAGGAGTCACGCTACCATTTTCTTCTTCCCGGTTAAACTCGTAATGAGATGAGGTGGAATGGTGGCAGGTGCGCAGTGAGGAGCTATGTAGAAGCAGTTAGGGCGTTGGCATGCGAGATACTGGAGGTGATGGCAGAAGGGATGGGGGTCCCACACACCTCAGTCTTCAGCGCCCTCATCAGAGACGCCGACGCTGACTCCCTCCTCAGGCTCAATCACTATCCCCCCGTTCCCGACGATTGGGACACGTCACCTTCCGACCCTCGCCATCAAAACCCTCGGATCGGCTTTGGCGAGCACACTGACCCTCAGATCTTGACTCTCCTGAGATCCAACGACGTCCGTGGCCTCCAAATCTCGCTCCACGACGGGGTTTGGGTCCCAGTCGATCCCCACCCCCAAGCCTTCTTCGTCAATGTTGGTGACGTGTTACAGGTCCTCCTCACTCTGCTAAGCTAATAATTTTTTTTTTTTTACTGCTAATTTTTTTTGTTTGTTACTGCTGCTGGTGATAGTACCACTAATGGACTGATGATGGTAAATGGTAATCATAATTAATTCATAGCCGTATATATGGTCTGGCAAATGACATGAATTGACTGATTGCTGCAAAAACTGAACCTGAAACTACTGAAACTGAACTGAAGGAGCGGGGAGTTTTCCTTTCCTTTGATGGAGATATCTGATCTGATGCAACAATGGAATGGAATAGATTTGGGAGCGCTGATGGATGCCAATTCTGATAACAGTTCATCCCCTCTCTCTCTCTCTCTCTCTCTCTCCCCCTGCTCCCGCTCAGACCACAGGCTACAGACTTTTTTGATTCCCTCTTTTTTCGGTTTGTGTTCCGTTGATCATCTACGCTAGTTTTACTACTATGAACGCTACCTAGACACCTACCACAGTTTTAGTAACAATAATAAATAATATGGATATGAGACAGTAAAGATTAATTCATTATGGAGTACTCTAAAACCACAGTTCACTCCACATTCCTATGGTACACACGCTTTGAGTAACTTCTGGTCTGATCTTTTCTTTATGGTGTCATCAACAATCTCTCTCTCTCAAGAAGAAAAAAGAAAAAAGAAAAAAGAAAATCTCTAGTGTCTAACTTTGTGCAACTCTCCGCTGCTGAAGGCCATGACAAACGGGAGGTTCTTGAGCGTGAAACACCGAGCCACGGTGAGCTGGTACCGGTCCAGAATGTCAATGGCCTACTTCGCCTCCCCACCACTCCGTGCAAGGATCGGGCCAATCCCCGAAACGGTGACGCCACACAATCCTCCCCTTTACAGGTCATTTACGTGGGACGAATACAAGAAAGCTACCTATTCTCGACGCCTCGGAGATGGCCGTCTCAATTTGTTCAGGTTCCAACCGAACGATGGACTCGGAAAGTGATATGGCCTATATATTATTATATGCTTCTCTCGAGTCTCGACACCCCACACAGACACGCACACAACAACAACAAAACAATATGATTTTGTACCCTCGGAGAGGAGTTCTCAAGCTTCAATCCTTTCTTTCCACAGGTTTTGCCAACTATGTAGTATGTTTGGTGTGGGATGTGTGCCTTCTAAATGGACACATGACTGTCGATCTCCTGATCAGTGGTTCTGTTGTAGGCCTCATTTCATTATTGTCAATTAACAAGGTCCATCACGCTGCTGCCACTTTTGCACTGTTCCAGGCTTTATTCCCATTATTTAGTTGTTGATACCCTCACAACCACTGCTAGGTAGGTCAAACTCAGTCGCATCCCTCTGCTAGGTAGGGAAAAACATGGGACTCTTTGCGAATCTTCTCCTAGACGACGACGACTCTTATCATGTCAATTTCGCCAAATTAGACCGGTATGTGCGCAGAGGAATTCATGAATGCGGTTAGCAAGTAAGAAAATATGTCATTGCTGAGGCCGACAAAGATGAAATGAAAACCAACACCGCTGCTTGCATAAAATGATGGTCTCTACGTTGACAAGAATACAATTGCGTTTGTTCATTCCCAGAACCTTATAACATGTCAAAAAGCAGCAGCTTCTGTTATGTCAAATGGAATACACAATAATTATTATTATTGTCAGCACGGCATTATTTATTTCCACTGGTAATGCCAACGACGAAGCATCTCAGCAGTGCGTCTCCTTTATTTGTGGTGGCAGCGGTTCAGACATACTACTAGGCGATCTACTCGCAACACGTGCACACTTTGTTCGCCGCCCATTTTTGTTCAGCCCGCATACACAGTTCTCCAGAATCTCGTAATCTTCATTCCAAAACAACATTGAAGCCATCTCTGGATTTTCCAGTAGCATTTTAGAGGTAAGGTATCCAGCAATTGTCCACGTCTGATAAAGTCGAGACTGTTTTCCTATAAACCTTCCACGCCTGGTATCATAATATTCGGGCCACTGATCCACGAGAAGCCTTTTCTCAGCCGAAGCCAATGCTCTGCTTGCTAATTCCGGTTTGCCCATCTTCATGCAAGCCAGCGTGAACTGAAACATCATGAGACAGCCATGTGAGAGAGAGAATTAGAGGGTCGTCGAAGAACTACAATATGCAGCAAGTATCCCGCTCTCGCACGAGTAAATGCATGATATCTGACTCCCATTTTCTCGCGCACAGTTTAACTTAAAGTGAAAAATAAAAGTTCTCAAAAAAATACCATCAAATGTTCTCCTTAACATCTCTCTGGTTGTAGCTCACTGAGCTGCAAATCTTATAAACAGAACAGACGATCCTCACTCATTTAGAAGAAGCTTACCTGCCACAGCAGTGTTGGCCACGACCCAGCATTATGATAAGACCATGGCCTACATGCAAATTAGATTTTGACAATTAGATGAAGTCATATTAGAGCATGAATGCACGAAGTAGGATTTCACGGCGAGCCAACCCTACGATATCGAGTGCATAGAAGCAAAAGAAATAAAAAAAAGAAGACAGATGCTCACGTATTTTTAGGGTCACTGCCTGTGATAACGCGCCATTCTTCGTACTCCAAAGCCGGATAACATATCTTAAGAGGCATGCCTGACACAAGGTCATCCCATTTGTCTTCAATCAAACTGACTACACCTTCATTTTGCGTAGGCGTTCCCAGCGATGATATAATAGCCCAAAGATTTCCAAGCGTGAAAAATCTAAAATCCATATGAGCAGGTTGTAGATTGCCAATAAAGTATCCACCATTCTCAGGTATCCAATCCACAAGCCAAGATGGAATCTGCTCTGGATATATATTAAATTTGTTGATCGCCTCGGTTGAGTATTCTTCTGTCTTGTATCGATATATTTCGTTGATCTTTTTCATGTCCACCCAATAATGCTCCCTTATGTGAAAAGAAAGCGCACTGAGACGGTTATTGATGGCTGCAACTAGCTTCTTTGTTGAATCATTGACAGTAAGCATCTCACGGGAACAGCGTAGAGCTGAATAAAATAAAGACTGAGAAGGCACCACCAAGTTAACACAAAATCAAATTCCCATAATGCAAAAAGAATTTTAAAACAGTAGCGAAAGAAGAGCAATTATGCGCGTTCTTCGTGAAGGCCTATGCAGGAGGTAGCGAAAGGAAGATTGGTGAATATACTGGACTAGAACACCTACCTAGCTATCTAGATGGACAAAGACTGCACTACTTGCCTATGGTCTGACAAATGACTGCACATCCTTAGACAACTCTACTCCAATTCTAGAGTTCATCAAGCAACTGGATGTGAATCAGCTAAAATTGTTGAGGTTTTGAAATGCAAAATTTCTTCATACAACAGCTGGATATGAAATCAGCTAAAATTGTTGAGTTTTGAAATGCATATAATAGGTCATTAAGACTCATGAAACGGGAAAGAAAGGCTTCAATTGAGGTCAAGAGCATACCGCTGTAGGTTACCCTACCAACTGAATAGATGAAAGTGGCTCGCATTAAATAGCAACGGAAAAGCAAAAGGATGAAGCAATCTCTCAGGCATTGAAAAACTTTTACGGTAAAAGCAATCAGAATTTCTATTACTATTGACTCTTTTAGCCCGATGGAACCGAAAAGTTACAAGAAGGTTAAAATAAAAATGGAAACTGTGAGAGTATACATGCAACGGATGTAAAATGAGAATTTAAGTGATGAGGAAGATTTCGCATTCAATTTTTTGCAAGGACTTAAAATAGACAGACATGTCAAAAGCCAACTTTTCCAATAATTCACCACATATGGCATAAGTAAGAAAATCAAATTAAGATGACTTCCTTTGGTTCCATTTATGTCACATTAAAGAGGCCTTACATGCAAAATAATTAACAGTAGGTACACTAACTAAACAATCACTTACTTGGATTTCGAGAGGATGGCCATGAATACCCATCCTTCTGTCAATCATGCAGGACCCATCAGTGACTAAGAGAGTAGGAAACATATCAAAACCGTCAGTCAAACACAAATTGAGTATCCATCTGATGCCTGTCTGCACATCAACCCTCTCTTGCAGAGAATAATCCCCAGTGATCTTTCCATAAGCTCTCAACAGAATTATCCACCACAAACCTGTCACATTTTGGAAATACCATTATTATTAGCCAAGCATACCCCCTCACCCAACACACGAAAAATTCACATGCCTTTGAATATCCGAATGAATTGGGATGGGCATCAAGGATGTTGACTCAGATAATAGGCAGACCTTTAAAACATGCATACAAACAAAAGATATGCAGATGTAGAATTTGTAGAAATACCCATCTAAATTCTGAGTTCAACATTTCACAGACTTCAAATGGAACCATTGCAGTTGACATGTGACATCATGCTCCAAGATCAAATTACACTAGCCTCAAGCATTGATGAATGTGGTTCAGGAAGAACTAAAAGTAAAATGAAATTTGAGTTTGGTTTCCTTAAACGAATGTTCAGATTACTGAACAGAAGAAACACAACAATTGACAATGAGCAGGTGTGAAACTGGAGAGAAATTCATGATGCAGCAGTGAATAAAACAACAGTTGAGTCGATATACATCTTGAAGAACTTTTGATGGATCAATTTCATAGCAACTGCAACCTTACCAGAATCAACAGGTGCAACACGTCCAATAGCAGATTCACCAAAATCAGGATCCAAAACATCCTCAAATTCTCCATTTCTTCCTTCAAGAGGCACAGCCTTAACTTTAAAACTGGCAGGCATCAACCCCTGTCCAGGGCTGTGGCAGTCCACAGTCTTTTCCCAACTCTAAAAAGTAAGCAGTGCATAACTTTAGTTGTATCCATGCAAATGTACTAAAAAATAAGCTGTCATGCATAGAAACTTACTAACAAAACAAGGAAAAAGCTTAACTAATCTAATTTGTAACAGCAAGGCAAATAGAGCTCAATAACTCATTAGCTATTGAACAAAGGAAGGGAAAAAAGAAAAAAATGGGTATGTCAGGGGAGGATTAAAGGTAAGACCAAAGTAAAGGTCCTCCATAAGGATCCAACCCTATCTTTTTACCGATATATAAGAAAGTTGTTTCAGGACATATAAGAAAAAAAATGCACCAAAGGAAATTGTTTTTTTCTACATTTTCCAGTACCTTGTGAGCCTCTTCAATTGTCTCAATCAACAAGGCTTCACATGTAAATCTCCTCTAACATAAATTTTCTCAAAGCTGTTTTGATTAACTCGAGATTCAATGGACGTCGAATGGTTCCTGACATCCGACGCAACATTTGCTATATTTGAAACACGTCTATCATTACTCGTATTAACTGGACAGCCAGAAAAAAACCTAGATTGTCCAGAATCCGAACCAGATAAACAAAAAGCTCTCCAGTTCGGAGTATTTGTTTCTAGTAAACCTACAACCCTATTGCAAGAATCAGGTAAATCATTCAAATTCGGTTGTAATTTCGACAAATTGTCAGGAATCAAATAATTAGAATTGAGAAATGGGAATCCGAAAAGGGATGAATTCTTGCAGCTAACTAAGATTCTACGACAGGGTTTCATAGTGGAAAGTCCAATACCGCTGCTGGTATTCATTTTGAATTCGGAACAAAAATACGCAGCGAGCTGCAGAAGGGTCTTTAGTATATAACCCAAAGCTTTATAAAAGTCTTAAGCTTTGTGTAAATATTACAGGTCGAGTGCCTATGTACAATAGCTCTATGATATCTAGAAAAGTCAAATCTTTAACAACAGATAATACTAATGATTTATCTAAGACGAGGTAGGATATAAATATACAAAGTTGTTCTTTTTTATAACGAAATAAAAATGTAAATGAAAAACTGAAATGAAAGGGAACTAACTTACAGTTGGAAGGAGCTGAAGAGAGAGCGTGTCTGAAGACGGAACAGAGGTAGTTACATGTGGGAAGCCAAAGGTGGGAGTTGAGAGGGGTTTATATAGAGATGCTGGCAGTTGCGGGCCGGAAACTTCCTTGAATCAACAAAAGCAGCAGGTCAAAACTTTTTTTAAAAAAAAAAATTTTTTTTTTGGCCCTTTGCAAAAAAGGGTACACTAGTATTTTTGTGTTTCCAGTAATGACCTTGCGCATGACGCTTGCGTTTCACAAAATTTATCTCGCAAGACAGAAGGAAAAAAAAAAAAAGGGGGAGAAGACAAATAGTTTCTTGTAATTTTGCGTCTTTTGTTCTTATTTGTTAGGTGGGGACAGATAATAATTGTACCATGTTTTTCAGAGGCCCTTAACTTTATTAGATTTAGGTACAATAATTTCATTCCGAGTCGAAATGTTAGATAATTTGTAACATACAAAAAAAAATCATTTGTAAGTGTGTGAAAGGGTCATTCCCACCACAATGCATATATACAAAATATATAAAAGGTGAAAACTTCATGCCTTTTCTTTTCTTTTTTTTTTTTATTGGTTGGGGCTTCCTGTTTGAATTGTCGTAAAAAAAGAATAGACGAGGGATGAGGAAGAGTTTATCTTTTGCTTTTCTTCCCCAGAGAGGATAGGGCTGAACTGACGAGCAAGTAGTACTACAAAATTGGACCACCTGCAATAGGAACCTGAATAGCAAAATGTGCGCAAAGCCATTGTCCAAACGCTTCGCTCTCACGCTTTAACCATTTCTCATGTTGTTGTCTGGATGTATTGAAAGATGACCGGATTTGCCAAAGCTCCATCAGATTTTCCACTCCACTCATAAATAATCAATCTATGATGCGTGAATTTTCCACTCCACTCATAGAAACAAAACACGTTTTGTGTGATACATGTGCATATTTTTAGAAGAGATTTTGGGCAATCTTAAATGTTGTTGTGCTATTTATTAAGAATCAATTTAAGAATGAGTTAGAAAAGTCTAGGGTAGAAATGGGCTTAGAAAAGTCTACCCGAAAAAAGTGACAGCTAGCTAGCGTATTAACAAATTATGGGCCTAGAGAACTGGGTTCCTTTAGAAATAGTTTACGCAAACGGCGCAACTGATGTTGGGGAAATGTTTTCAATCAGGGTTAACTGCCAGTGAGTGTAAGATTTTGGATCGGACTCCAGCTTAAGCCGGTGGGAGAGAGTTCTGAAGTGGGTTGAATGCTTGAATCCATCGGAGTGACGGCGTGAAATCTGCAAAAATGAAGCCCAGCAGCCCATTATCATTTTCTCCTTTGGGTCGCCCGTCGTACGTACGCACGTAAGGAGGGGACGATATATATCTCTGTTTATGGGCTTAGAGTGGAGGTCTTCCTTTGCTTGTTAGGAAAAATGAAAGAAGTCAAAGCAACAGCACGTGGTACTAAACACAACTACCACCACAAGGCAACTTGCCAAGTGGATGGAGGTTCGCAACTGAATAAATACTGCTGAACATCGATCATCGACGGCAGCAGGCTTCCAGAATCCTCTTCTATTTTCAAAAAAAAAAAATTAATAATAATAATTTTGGAGTCGAAATATTCAAAACATAATCACCGTCTTAATAATTAAACGTAAGCAGTGTGATCCATTCCCACTCACTCCCATTTCCCTACGGTTTATTAATTATTATTACTACTACAACTGTTGGATACATACATATATTAGTAATTTAATTGCATTCCGCAGCTTCTCAAGTATTGACGTTTTCTGCCCTTAATTGACCAACCCAGCGTTACATATGTCTGACTCTCAAATTTCTACAGTCAAACTACCAGGCTGCTAAGACCGCTGTTTCATAGTAATTGTTACTTTATTTTAGCGAACCACGTTTCCAAACACCCAACAAAAAAAAAAAAAAAAAAATCTCTATTTCCATTTTATCATTATTGTTCTCCAATAAAATATTCTTCAACCACTTGCTGATTAACAAGTAGTAGCAGCAAGCATGCATGCATTGAGTACACAAGTGCTGCTAGCTAATTGTGTTGAACGTTCCACTAAGTAAAAGTTTATAATTAACAAACCCAAAATTTCAGCATTAAGTTTCTGACCCTAGTGATTAGCTACTCCGTCTATATACAATAATATCATCATCTCGATGTGCAGCATCTATTAATTATTCGCGTTGCTGCCCTTTTGACAGTATTGAAAGACCCAAAAAAAAAATGAATAAAAATTGGTCAGTCTTTAAATTAATTAATTAGTTTTTGACTAAGTGCACTCCTCCGCCTTTCTTCTCCGATCCTCTCCTAATTATGTGTTTTTGTCCTAAATCATCAGTAATGCTTAATTTCAAACTTGTCATTCCTCCTCCGATCCACACATACGCATAATAATGAACCATTAAAGTGCTGCTAGGAAAGTGTACGTACTTTTCTCGATCGATCAACCGAATTGAATCATCGATCAAGAGCTCCGACATTAGCAAGTGGTTTATTACGCAAAGAAGCTGATCAATGTTCCTTAACTACGTACGAGTTATGATCGAGACTGAGGATCAAACCACCGAATAAGCACCAATTCATTCATTTGCTTATAAATATAGCATGTATTTAATTAGCGATGAAAATGATACGTCGAATTTGTGGTCTGAAAATGCTGCCGTTGCATTGTTGATGAATAATAATGCACGTAAGCCAGCTCCATCACTACCTTTTCTCTTTTCTATTTTCTCCCCACGTTATGTTATGTTGGAGTTTGAAAAGGTTAACTCAAGCGCTACTACCATTCATTAATTGCTACACAGCAGTTACGTACATACGAAAGACGCAATTTGCATTTTTGATGCAAACTTTCTTACATATGGAAGCCTTAGCCAAACCCAGATGATGTACGTTTTAGCAGTATGTTCCATCAAGAAACATCTATAATATAATACTACTGAGTCACAACTGATCATGATGCCTTCATCAAATTATTGATATACCAACACGCACGTACCATCATACATATATATATATATACAGATATAGCATGCAAGGGTGGATCCAAATTGTAGTTTCTCATAGTGGAATAGCATGACGAACTTTCTCGCGTTTCTTACGGGTTGGAAACACACTCTCCCTGAATAGGGATAAGTCCGCAAGAGGTGACGCCGGATGCCTCTTTGTTATCTGTCCCCATTACACTCGTGGCTGAGGGGTTGTGAAAGCTAAAAGAGGCATCACTGGAACTTCGCTTTCGTTATTGATTGCTACGCAAAGGATTAATCAAGAATGAACCCAGAAACAGCACCTGAATGATCAGACTCCTTGAGACGGTGCTAATTATGAAAGATACAGTACAGACAGTACGTACTCGGTACTACTACTCCGAGATAAACCGCCTGAGAGCTTATACTAGCACTGTAATCTTTTTAAAGGCACTGAAAGCAATATATATATATATATGTTTTTCTCAAAAGTTGCATTCTATTTTTTTAAAAAAAAAAAAAATAGATTTCTTTCAAGTATTCCTTGTAAAAGATTGCATCCACAGAACAGAATAATACGTTTCTTCAAAAAAATCTATATCACCTATTCGAGAACTCTTTCCAAGAAAGAAAAATGAATCACCACCTTTGGGAGTGGGAATTATTTGGATTTGTTGAGGAACAAGGCACGGGGGAATACGGGACTACCAAATCATTCCAGAATTACTTTTATGGGATTTGATTGACCGGAATCGACCACTTTTCAGACGCCAGAGTAGTCCTCTACAGGTGGACCAAATTAAATTTCGACCCCACCTTCTCACTATCAGATGCGAAATCAAAGCCACTGTTCGATTGTTCATGAGTCCGGGGAACTGTCCCGTCATTGGGAGAGCGACTCTTCAAGTTTTGACTTCTGTATCCGGAAGGAAAATTTTGGAGCAGCTCTGCGCCTGTGGCGTGGAGTCATTATTGCTGTGTATTTTTTTTCTGGCGAAGAGCTCTGCATTAACCCTCTTTTCATGTCACTTCCAACTAATCGGGAGTGCCATTCTCTTTTCCCGATTGGTAATTCAATGCCAACTTTCCATAGATTTTGTGCTCTTCTCACAGGCCACAATAGGGCAGCCTAGATTCCACCTAGCGTCTTTACAATAATAATTGAAGAAGCGCGGAGCTTCCGCCCCAGCAGGTGCGTGGAGGGGCTCCCCAGAATTCGAACCCTGATCCTTCTGTATAAGGGTCTTGGGGTTGAAGTCCTGGTACCACTTGAGCTAGTAGCTCAAGTGGTACCAGGACTTCAACCCCAAGACCCTTATACACAAGGACCAGGATTCGAATCCTGGGGAGGCCCCCCTCCACGCACCTGATGCTGGGGCGGACAAAACACACAATTGACCTCCACGGAGGAAGCCCGCGCTTCTTCAATAATGTAAATAAATAAATACAGGGTTCAACAAGAAAGAAAAAACCATAAACCAACACCATGAACGCTTGCTCTAATTCAATGGTGGTGATATATTGCTGCTATTTTAATTTGACCACAAAAGCCAACTGGGCTGAGGCCAAGCACATTTGTACAAAGCAAATATATGTTTCTTCTGTTTATCCTATCATATCACCGACGAGACGAGAGTTCTTATTATTCAATAATGTGACATATATAGACTACGGATTTTTTTAAAAAAAAAAATGATAGATGTGCCATGATATAATTCACATTTCAATCGTGGCTCGGGGTAAAACATGCTTATTTATGCAATTACCAATAGAATCACAACGTTAACCTTCTTACCATCCTAAACTGTCATGTCAAACTTTCAGCTACCACGAACGAGAAGAAAATTTTTAAAGGCAAGGGAAAACCGACGTGGCTCAAAGAAACTTGTTTTCAGAATTTTAGTGGACTCCAGTTGTACTTTGGAATATTATTGATACTTGGATTGCATACGTACTCAGATACGTACAACTTGTACTGTACACGATTTGGGTGAACTATCTTTTCTTTTCTTTTAAAAAAAAAAAAAAAAAACCCCCTCTTGTTTCTGTCCTCACACCCTTCTCGCTCCCAATTATTAGACTCAAGATTTAAACACTGAACCTAACGGATTTGAAGCAAAGACATTTGTTAGGTCAACCATTATTGAACAGTATAATTCTCTTTGAACAATTTGCAATTCTATATGAACTATTTATAAAATTTCATAATAGATATGCAATTATTTTGCATAGATCACATGAACAGTAATAAAATATCGTGCAC